GCAGCCTTGAGCTTGAGCTGCCACATTGCCCGATTCACTCTTTGGAGCAAGGGACATTCCTACCGCAGAGTACACAGTGGCTTCTTAACCCCTGAAAGCATGCACGTGCCTCCTTCAGGGACCTTGGACCTCTACAGAGTGACCGAGGCCTGGGAACCCTCGTGTCTGTGAGCCCACTCACTGATTCTGTGCAGGCCACAGAGAAAGTACTATCGAGTCCTGCCCAGTCCTAACCAGACACGTGGGCTGAACAGCGCAATATGGTTGGATTATCTGCTTTTGGAAGCACAGGGTGGCTGTGAGTTCTAAGAGCCAGAGGGGTTGCAGTTCAGCAAGTGTCTGATTAGCATCTCGAATGCTTCTGAGAGAGGGCTGCAGACCCCTTTTTCTGGGGAGGGGTGCATTTAGGGCTTTGCTCACAGGGCCTTCCTGGTAACTCCTCAAAGTGTTATCCCAGGTTCCCATGGAGGTAAATGACGAGAGCTCCAGCACCTCTGTGGTAAAGAGTTTGGGGCTAGATGATCTTATTTTTACAAGTGCAAGCGAAATACTTCTGGGTTTTTAAATTTTATATGTATTTTTAATTTTCTATAGGGCATTTGCACTTGCTGGTGAGAGGACAGAAAGCGAGAGAGAGAGAGCGAGCGCACACACTAGTGAGGGCTAGAGCCCTCAGGGAAGTGGCCAGGCCACAATCCCGTCTCCATTCTCCTCTGGAGATTCTGGACACACACACACACACACACACACACACACACACACACACACATTTGTGCACATGCAGTGTTTTACTTCCTCCTGGAATTTTGGGCACCCATGCACACATGCCCAGTGTGATTTTCAAGCTGCAAGTCTGGGACTCCCACTGGCCATACGGGAGTCCAGTGCCTTAACCACCACGCCACCTGCTGGCCCACACAGTGTAGTTCTCGAGCTCCCAGCCCAGGACAGGACCTGCTCAGTGGTCACCTGGGACCCAGACACCTTAACCACCATGCCACCTGCTGGCCCACAAGTGACACACTTCCATGTAAAAGAAAGTGTCACAGGCAAACGGCCTTCCCTTCTCTGAGCCATAAATAAAGTACTCTATAAGGCTTATCCACAGTCTGGTAATTGCCAAGCGAACTGTGCTTTGAACTGTTAGCTCTGTCATGGCTCTGGCTTTGACGTCAAGTGAGTGTCAATGTCTAGGAACACAAAACACACTCCGGGAGCCTCCAGGGCTCTAGTTTCAAGAGCCAAAAGGTGCAGGATCATATGGCTTTTGTACAACATTACACGTGGAACCTTAACTTTTCTAAAGTCGTCACTGCCTTCCAACCTTCAAAAGGAGGAATACGAGAACTCCTCTGCCTGCTCTCCACCCCCCCCCCCCCCCCGCAGGACTCCGGCAGCATTCTTCCCTGGTGCTCTTAAGCAGGTAGCAAAGGCACATACCTTTGACCTTGGCACCCACCTCTGCCCCCAGTAACTCCGTCTTTCAACCTTTCCGCCAGTCACACAGAGCTGTGACTACAACTACAAACCCACAACTTTGACATCTGTCACTTGCCACACCCAGGGCACTACACTCTGTGACTCAGCTGAAGTTGGCTATGATTGTTGATCTTTTCTTTCAGACACACATTTAAGGCTTAGATTTTCATTTGAATGGAGGTAGGATATGTCAAGTTTTGAAATGAGGATCTGCCCTGGATATTCATAGCTAATTTTTGCCAGACAGAAGGAAATCTTGGCTTTTTAAATCTGAAAGCGGTTTTTAAACCCTAGAGAGAGAAAAACCCATGGGCAAATGTCTGTACACATACAGGCTGATTGTCATGAGTGCTGATATGTCCGGCCCCAAGATAATAGCTTATACCCACGAGTGCTCCCTCTCTCCTTTTGTATCTTTGCTCACCGTATTTCTCATTGGAGAATATACACAACTATGCCCTTCTTTGGATTTTCAAATTCTGGTTTTCTTGGCAATACACGTAAGTAAACAAGACTACCACTTGTTTCCAACCAACCATCAGAGGCGGTAACAGGTAAGGATCAGGGAGAAGGTGGTTGTTACAGGCATGTTGTACCATAGCTGCTTCTCACTTCATCAGGAAAAAGAGAATGTGCTCTGAGGAAGTAGCAGCACCACCCTCATAAGGGACCCACCTGGCTAAACAAAAGCCCTGCCCAGCACAGGATCCTCAGTTTGGGGAAGAGAGGCAGACAGAAAGAAATGAGGGTCAAGTCTTATTTCTCTCAATTATCTATGGAAATGAAAGCACCCATCCATGTCTCTGTCTCTGTCTCTGACACACACACACACACACACACACACATGCGCACGGAGAAAATCCTTGGGGTAATTCATCCACCAGCCGTGTCTAAAGGTGGGAGGCTTTGCAGGAGGAAAGCACTCAAAATTCATTTCCCCATTAACTGAGAGTTTTTATGCTCATTTCTCATCTGAAGGGCTTAATTTTTCTTGAAGATTACACACCATGTCTCACCAAGGTTCAATGAGCGATGTTATTTTGAACCCGAAGGAGAGCTTTTCCATTAGAAATGGAACACAAAATGGTCAGTCACCGGCTTTTAGGTTTTTTGTTCGTATGTGTGCATGTATTTTGCAGGGTGGAGTCCGAGCAGGATCCCAAGGACAAGAAGTGTACATTTTAATGCTCCGTTGCCAGGGGAGACTGGACAGTGTCATCACCTTATTTAGAGCAGGTTAAGCTGGCTAATTCATGAAGCCTAGCATTAATGGCCTAAATGAAGTTACGGGTAAGAATTTACATAGAGCAGATTAATATTACATGTCATGGTGAAATTTTAAATGCTCCGTGTCCATGCATTTTCAGTCTTTACGTGCCATAACTTAATGCGCGAGGTGACTGCATTTCTTGTACCCACTTTTGCGTCTAAGTGGGTACAGAAAAACCCCACTATGTTTTATCTTAGTCATAGGCCCGGATCACCAAAACCCTGCATTCGATTTGGCTTTCTTTCTCTTTTCTAAGCTTTCGCGTTTTTTTTTTAAAGAAAATGGGAAAGCTACACATTTCATCCCATCATTACGGTTTCGGCTTCAGCAACTGTGAAAAGGCAGATAACGAAACCAAGTGGGAAACCCTAGGACGGAACCAGCGCGCCTGCCCGAGCAGCGCGTCTTTCCCAAGGCACCAGAATCCCAGGGATGGAGCGAGGGGTAGTTAGGTCCCCGCGCCGCGCTCCGAGGGGTGGCGGGGAATCCGCCCGCAGGCCCAGCGCTCCTCTGCAGCCCGGGCCGGGGGAGTGAATTCCAGCCGCGCATTCCCGCAGTTCTTCGCAGGAACTTCTCTCCCCTTCTCCCTCCCTCCGGCACACAGCAGCCCCGCCCGACTCCCACCCAGCGCTTTGCTCGGAGCCCCGACCCACTGCGTTGACGGAATGGAGCGCCCTCCCCATTGGCCCGAGCGTCATTCCCTGAGGCGGCGCTGCCCGTCTGATTG